GAGGCGGGGCTAGGCGGGATCGGATCTGATCGGGGAGGGGCGGGGCCCGAGAGGGGTCGCTGGCGCTTCTGCTATTCTGCCGGTGCGCGCGGCGGCGGAGGCAGCGCCCGCCCGGAGGCTCCGCTCGACGCTCGCGGGGACAGCGTGCGGGGACAGCGTGCGCGGACCGCCGGTTCAGACCACGGCGGCGCTGTGGCCGAACACGAGAGTGGCAGCGAGGACCGGCGACCCGCGCCCGAGCTCCGCGGGCGGGAAGCGCTCGGGACTGGGGCAGCCCCGGCGCCTCCTAAACCCGCGGGGCCGCGGCCACGGTCGCAGTGACGGTCAAGGGGCCGGGACCCGAGGAGACGCGCAGGCTCCTCCTCCGGCGGCCGGCGGGGACCGCACCTGCGCCTCCCGCGCTCGGCCCGCCCCGCGCCCGGCCCGCCCCGCGCCGGCCCGGCGGCTCTCACCTGCGCGGCGGACTGGGGCAGGGGCTGGGGACCGGGCGGCACCATGAACAGCGGCGGCGCCAACATCACCTACGCCAGCCGCAAGCGGCGGAAGCCCGTGCAGAAAACGTGAGTGTCCGGGCGGCCCAGGCGTGAGGCGCCTACTGCCGCCGACCGAGAGGCGCGGCCCGTCGCCACCCAGCGCTGGATGTTCCCGCTTCGGTGGCGCACGGCCTGCGGGGCGTGCGCGCCTCTCGCCTCCGCACTCGGTCCTCCTCGCGGTCCTCGTTTGTTGACAGCTCTCACCTGCCTGCCTTTGGTGCTGGTGGATTAGGGCGCCTAAACCCGTCTCCAAATCCCTCTCCTCTCTGAACATCCGCTCGCTCGCTCGGGTTAAGGTTAGGGGAGAGGACAGTCTCAGCATGCTGACTGTGGGTGGGAAACTTGGTAGGGCGAGGTGTTTTCAGGCGCTGAGCACGTGCCGTCTGGAAGGAAGGCAGGCAGGAAGGACAGGGCAGAAGCACCTCTACAGGAACCTGTCCTCTGTGGCATGGTTTCTGCGGGGCTTTCTTATTTACCTAAGAACCAGGCTGCAGTCATCGCGCGGCACCTGCCCCGTGTGAGCCTGTGGGGAGCTGTCACCTCGGTGAGGTGTGGATGGGAGAAGGGGACGCGTGCGGTGGAGGAGGGTGGCAGTGCATAGCCACTTTTTCAGCTTTCTTCTCACTTTCTGGGGGTGGTTTTAGAGTCCGTAAAGTAAGATTTACACCTAGATTTATATAGAGAGAAGTTCCGTTCTTGGTATGTACCTGTAATTCTCTTCCCCCCCCCCACTTCAAAATTTCGTCCAATCTAATAGTGATTACAGACTTGGATTTTGTTTTGGACGTATATTTGTATAAGTTGAAAAGTACGTTAGAATATTTTTTTTTCAGAAAAACAATCCCACACTTTACACATCTCCTTTTGTGAGTTGGCTGTATCGAGAGATTGTTCTTAATCATTATCTTTGAATTCTTTTTGCTTCATCAAGTATTTTTCACATTTTTACAAACAAGTTTAATAACACAGAAATGGTTACTTATAGGAACTCAGAAGTGTGCATTTTGCTTTAAACTCAGCAGTCACTATATGTGAACCTAGAAAAAGTACAATTTAAGATTTATCCAGTGTTTGAAATTGGTCTCATTATTCTGGAACTTTAGTGTGCTTTAAGGATTTACGTTATAATTATCCTTCAGATCGAGACTTTTAAATGAGCATGAACAGAAGACACAAATACACGGACTGAAATTTGGAAGTGTTAGGGTACAGTGTTTCTGACTGGAATATTGCCGAGTCAGCAATCTCTTGGCAATTCTGAGACATAAATTTTTAATGCTTTTTTTTTCTTTTTGGGAGAATGGTTTCTTCTATTAAAAGGTATTTGTCTAATTCAATTTTGTCCTTGATAACTAAAATTGACAGGCATCCCAAATGCCTGTTCTATGTATTTATTAATATAAGAGTATACTTAGAATGAGATATATATATATATATAAAATATGGGTATCATGGATTTATGTACATAAGTCAGAAAATTTGAAGCCTTGGTAGGGTTTTCGGATATTGAGTTTCAGTCAATATGCCCTTTAAAAAGGATGTACATTGCTTTGTAACAAAATTAAATCCCTTAATTGTAAAGTTTAATACTTTTGGTTTCTAGTTAATATCTTATGAAAGATCTTTTTGCATTTTTTTGTGTGTGTAAGAGGTTCCTTTTAGATTTTAATGTACTTTCTTGGACTTTACTTGTATTTTCCTCGTTCCCTTGCACTTTGTTTAGTCTTTATAGACATTTATCAGATCTTTCCTGAGTACCGTCAATTGCTTCTAATTGTACAAATGCCCTAAATATCACCAACTCACTGTGTAAGAAAAAGCCTAGTGCTGGCATTTACCTGACTGAAAGGCACAGTTAGTCAAAGTTAATCATGCTCTAAGAATGAGGCCATTATATAGTAACATGAGTTTTTAAATTAAACTACTAGTAGGTGGCTGATGAGGTCTAAAACAAACTTTGGGGAAAATTACATCTTGTTTGAGCTGCAAGTACTGTCCTGATCTGCTTAACTTTGACCCTTTTATTTTTTTTAAATGGTGACCATTTTATTTTATTTATAGAGAAAATGTGTTGTAGAATAATTGTAGAACTGGGAAAGAAAAAAAGATGGCTATTGCTGTATACAATTCCGTGAATTCTTGGAATGAAGTTGGTGACATGATTTTCACCTGAAGCTCTTTTGGTCAGTTTTCAATTGAGTTTATGAAACAAAATAAACTCCCTCTAGTGGCAGGACTCATATTGAAAATTTTAAGTAGGAAATACATTTAGAATGTGTTAAATTTAATCTCACTAAAGTATATGGTAGACTGAAAAAATGTTTCATTTCTCTTTGGAGTAATGAAAATTAGGAAATTAAAGGATTTGAAACAGCCTTGCATCTGACCCATTTTTCTTCTTTTCGAAGAAAATTTCAAAGAAAATTAGAATCTCTTGTAACTCTTCTTGGAATCTTGTTCCATACTTGGTAAACCTACTCAAAAAGAGAACAAATAATTTTGTTTAAAACCTATTCTTATTTTATTCTCGTTGGAGATGAAAACATCTCTTTATTTTGATATTTTGTCTCATGTAGAGAACTGCACTGTAGAACTAAACAGAATCTGTCTTTCTCTAGTGATGATAACTTTGAGTATATTTTTGATGTTTTGATTTTTACAGAAAATGTTTTAATGGTGTTTCAATTTACTGTATTTCTAGAACATTAATACTGAACATTGGTGTTGGATAAATGACAGCTACACTTAAAAATGATACCAGCAGTAGTGGTGGTATGGCTAGCTGTTATGAGTCTTTGGGACTGGAAGTAACTTCTGACATTAGATGATCCTCTGTTAAAATGCACACTAAGGAAAGCTTTTACTTTATTGACACACCAATAGTACTAACACACTGTAAAAGTCTAGTCTTTTCTTGCTAAATTGCATTTTATTTTATTTGAACAATACAGACCTCATTTATGTATATACACTTATGAAATTTTATTACCTCTAAGACACTCACGAAGTATTTCATAATAGTTATAGTATGATGCCACTTTCTAAATAGCACCTGAAATAAAAAGATGGGGCTTTTCTGTTGCATAGTTAATTCTCTATTATTTTCCTCTAATGTAGTTTCGTTTGGAGAGCTTATACATTTTGGCTATGGGTGTTCTTGCATGTTGGAAATATGAAATGAAATAAGTGAAACTGTTTACTTATAGGTAACACTAAGTGGCAAAAAGAAACAAGTTGCTGTAAGTTGAGAGTACTCTAAAATAAAAGATGATGTTTAGTTTGCTTACGGTTGTAGATCTGGTCAAGTTTCTTGACATACATATAAAGCAGGACAGTCTATTCCTATACTGCCACTATCACAAGTAAAACTAGCAGAACAAATCATTTTATAAACTATGAAGACTGCTAGAGATGTAATTGAGATTGAAGCATGTGTTGTGTTCCTTACATACTTCTAGCTTGTGTTAGCATAGAGCAATCAATTCTCCTATGAAACAGTAAGAGGCAGTATATGAATATGTTCGCAATTACAGATTCGGCTGAAACATGGCATTTCACTGGTGAATAAACTTAGGTAGCACATGCTTGTTTGGGTATTTATTAAGACAGTTACTTAGAAATAAGGACCATGGACATCTTTAACAACAGTACAGTACCTTTCTACTTGCCTGTTTCTTTTTTTGTATAGTGATTTAATTTAACTTCTGTTTGTTGCTCTTTAATATAAACATTTAGCACAATGCGCTATATACCTCAATTTTTTCACGTTTAGAGTAGTACTAAGGAAACAATATTAAGTAGCGACCAGAGAGTTTAAATTCAAAATTGATGAGGCAGGAAAGGAATTCCTGGGGTTGGATATTGGATCCTAGGTCTTTTGGCTCCAAAGCTTATGTTTTTACCAACTTTATGGTATTCTCTAAGTGAACAAGTTTAATGAAGGCTAATGGTACACCCATATCTTAAGGATTTCCTTTATTCTGCTGTTTCTCCTCAAATAGTTAGCATTATGGCTGAAATAAATTGTTGTTTCCCATGCACAATTTGTTCTTGTTCATCTCATTCTTGTATTCATGTCCTTCCTCTTACAGTCTTTTCCTCCATCCTACTGACTTGCTACTTACCTTCCCCTTTAGAACATTATTGTTAATGTCTGCACAGTGATCTGTTCCATAATTTATTTTACTATTTTCCTTTTTGGGAAAATTCCATTATTTCTAGCCTTTCAGTATTTTAACTAATACTTCAGAGAACACCTTTGAGATATGTAAAGTATGCAAATTATTACTTATTTTCTTAGGAAAAATTCCAGTAAGTCGAATTTTGGGATAGAGATATATGTCCTTAAGGTTGAGTCAAATACACTGAAAGATAGTGTCAAATTGCAATATAAGAAATTTGCAAATTACATTGCCACTGGCAGTCTGTAGATATACATATATCTTTGCATTTCTACTTAAAAATATTAACAATTTTATAGGTAAAAGGGGTGGAGAACACAGTTGAATTTGGATTGTGGTTGTGTGTGGTAGTAGAAGTAGGTGGGTTTGTAGATTTTCTACTTGAAGGGTCCTTTATATATTGATTTGCTTTGTTTTATATTTTTAATCAGTTTTTCAGTTGGTTCTCTTGTCTGTTTTTGATTGAAACATTTAAAATGAATTACTATGAAGTAACTATGTGCACATTTGAAGAGTCAATCATAGGCATATAGTGCCCTCTTAAATTTAGTTTGTTGGGCATTATCCTTTGGCAAATTATTGTAGTGATTAAGAATTTTAGCACTCTTTCATCTCTCCTTAATATTTTTCACTTTCCTCTATCTTCACAATTTAAAATTGAATTCACTTTTAAGATTCATGATTTTTGACTACATAAGTATTATTTACTGCAGAGCTAAGTAATATGCTATGATTACATTTTCTGTGTTACCATTGGTTTCTGTTTCTTTTCTACCTATTTTCCAACTTCACATTTATTTGCATTTGCGTTTAGTTGTCTCTTTGGTTTATTGAAGACAGAGTTTG